TTAAAGTCAATAAATTGGTTTCCTGGCCTGTGTTTCCAGCTGACAGATGTTGGCGTCATTTTTCTCTCTCACCACATCAGTGATCAGTGGTAGAAAATGCAACCATCAAATTCAGTCTGAGGCCTACTACACCTGTTAGTTGCTCACCCAGAGAAATGCCCCAGGACTTGGTTGGATTTGCCTTATCTTTCAGCCCTTGCATAGTCTAGGCCTGTTGTTATCATTAGTATGTGTATTTCTCTGGATTACTGATCCAGGTGAGTCCAATTCACAAACCCTAAACTTAGAAGTAGCATTCTCATTGGATAATGCTCTGTCTGCCAGATTACCTGTCCACCCCAGCGCCTACTCTTTCCCAACCTCCAAATCTCAGTCATCCCCCTTTCCCGAACATATTTCATTCTTTTTATGCTCTCCTTTCCAGATGCCTCTGCTGACAGAAGGGATCCGCATCCATGGGGAGAAACTGACAGAGCAGCTAAAGCCACTGCATGAACGGTTGTCTTCTTGCTTCCAGGAACTCAAGGAGAAAGTAGAAAGGCTCTATGGGGTTATAACTCTGGTAGGCTTTGTCCAAATAGCCTTCATGCTTTTTCTTGTCTGCTTTACCTTTTCCGATATTGTTAAGTTTTTCAGATGCCAAGCAAGTCATAATAACATAGGTATGGTATGAATATACTTGGGGCAGAAGGAAGAGGGCATATTCTGCTATTGGTGATCTTGAACAATCATTGTACTAGGTAGGTATTCTCAAACTTGAGTGAGCATCAGGATCTCCTGAAGGGCTTGTGAAAACACAGAAATCTCCATCCCCAGAGATTCTGATTCAGTAAGGATTGGGTGGTTGTTGGGTGCCATCAAGTCAATTCCAATTAATACAGACCCCATGTGATAGAGTAGAACTGCCTCATAGGGTTTTTTTGGCTGTAATCTTTACAGAGAAAGACCGCCAAGTCTTTCTCTGACAGAGCCTGCCAGGTGGGTTTGAACCACCAACCTTTTGGTTTGCAGTCCAGCACTTAACCTTTGAGCCACCAGGGCTTCTCAGGGTTTGGGTAGGACCCAGGTATGTGCATTTCTAACAAGTTCCCAGGTGATACTTATGCTACTGGTCTTGGAACCCCTCTTTGAGCACCACTGTTCTAGAACTTGAAGTTTTCCTAATCTTAGACACTGGTTCTCCTTGTCCTATCTAGCCCAATTATTATAGTTTTTCCTAATCTTTATTTTCTATTTTGATGAAAAATTTAGTCTTCACACCTTTGAAGGACAGGAAGAATTGTGAATTAGATTTTACAATGCATGTGGCTTATTTCATGAATTTTTACAGTTCTAACATGTTTCTCATGGTTACAATTTTCTTTTTTTCCTCCCGAGTTCAGTGGAGGGATGCATGTGCTAACCATTTCTCTCCAACGATATATTATTGAGTCCAGCTTCATTTATCTGCTATTTTTTCACTTGAGTTCACCCTGCTTTCTTCAACTATCTTATTCCTGCACCCTGATTTTCAGTTTTTCTTTCCTCAAATCAAGGCTCTGGGTTTCCTTCCATTTTCTCCTCTCCCTTATTTCCATACATCCATCTGCACAACCATTTTTTCCAGAGTATCTTTTTGACAGTTTTTTTCAGACATCAGAGTGTTTAGTAATGCTTTCTTCTTTTTTAATAATATTTTATTGTGTTTTCAGTGAAGGTTTACACAGCAGTTTAGGTTTCCATTCAACAACTTCTACACAGATTGTTCAGTGACATTGGTTACATTAATCACAATGCATGAACATTCTCATTATTTCTATTCTGGTTGTTCCGTTCTGTAGTCATGCCTTCTTAATAAGTTGCCTCCTAACCTGCTGCTAGTTAAGAGTTTTTTTCTAGAAACATCTGTCTTTAGTATGCAAGTTCCTAGATGGCAAAGACTGTGTCTTTGACCTAATAAGCCTAATTGTTAATAAAACCAGCCCAGTATTAACAAATGAATTTGATGTGGTAGCATGTGAGGGTAATCCTCCTGGGGACATGTCTTGTGAAAGATGTGTGTTCCTTCTCTTCCTGAGGGTCACCAAGTTAAGCTTCAGATCTACAGTTTGACTCCAAACATTCCTCTCTTAGGCCAATATTCCATTTTTCAAAAGGTCGAAAGAAGCCAAACTGGAGAGGCAGACAGAGAGTTTTGCTATTTTATTGGCAAGTAGTGCACATACTATTTTTTTCTTTCTCATGTGTCTGGCAGAAAATTATGTATTTTTCTCTAGTCTTAGATATAGGGTTGTTGTTCTTGTTAGCTGCTGTCAAGTCAGCCCCTAACTCATGACAACCCCATGCATAATGGGATTGGACTGTTGTGATCTATAGGATTTTCATTTGCTGATTTTCAGAAGTAGATCACCAGGCCTTTCTTCCTAGTCTGCCTTAGTCTGAAGCTCCACTGAAACCTGTTCAGCAGCATGGCAACAACATGCATGCTTCCACTGACAGACAGGTAGTGGCTGCGCTTGAGGTGCATTGGCCAGTAATCAAACCTGGCTCTCAAAACCTAAGTTGTGTCTATAACTAAGAGGTGATATTTGACATACTTAACAACTGATGCAGCACAGGCATCAATGAGAGTGGGGTGCCGGCCAAGCCGAATGGGCATTAGCCATCAACAATCAGTGCAGCTGTGCTAGTTCACGCTGGCTGAATTCCAGCCCAGCTAACCAGGAGGGGTTGTGTGTTTTCAGCCTCCCAACTTGACTGAGAGGAAGCAAGGCCGCACAGGGTCTCTTGTGCTACCCTACATCATGTCGTCCACTCTGCGGAGATTGTCCATCACCTCAGTGACTTCCTCTGTGGTTTCCACCTCTTCAACCTCATCTGATAATGCACCTTCCAGACCTGGATCTGATGGGTAAGAGTTTGATCATTGATCCCCAGAAGGGATGGAGTAGCGCCTTATTAATGTTTGAATTTGCCTTGGTCACCAAAGTGAGACGTGGTCAATGTAGATGCATCACCCTCATGAGAAAAATAATTCAGAGTACATGGGTTACTAGCCTTTGGGTCATTCTCGTTGTCTTCCTCATGAGGAATTACATATTTACATAATGATAATAACAGTTACTAAAACTGAAACAAGGGAAAAAATTACCCATGTTTCTACCACCCTATCACATACTGTTTTATTTTTCTCATGTTCATTTATAGTCATTGCTAAATTTTTCATAATTTCAGTTTTTTAAAATATTTTTTATAATTTTTATTTATTTTATGAAAAGGTAATGAAATCACATGATCTATAATTCCAAAGGTACAAAAAGGTATGTTATGAAAGATCTCCCTTCAGTCCCTTACTCTCAGTCTCTAGTATCAATCCCCAGAGGCAACTGATGTTAGCATCCAGATTCTTGGTACCCTTGCAGTGGCTCTTTGTATTTACACAAGCAATACCTAAATATACATTGTCATCCACACTTTTTTTGCACAAATGCTAACATACAATGCTCTCTTTATCTTGCTTTTTTCACTTACTGTATCTTGAAATTCACTTCGTGTCAGGACATAAAGTACTTTCTTTTCTTTCTGCTGCGGAGCCTCCCATTGTATGTCCGTCCCATAATGGATTCTACCAGTGCCTACTGATGGACACTTAGTTGATTTTAATATTTTACTATGCCAGCAGTGCTGCAATGAGTAACCTTAAACATAAGTCCTTTTTGCATATATACAAATGTATCAGTATGAGAAAAATCCCAGAAGTGAAGTTGCTTTGTCAGAGATACATTTTTGCAATTTTGAAAATTATTCCCAAACTGACTTCCATAGAGATGATTTTACAATTTACTTCCCCACCAGTAGCATATAAGAATACCTGAGCAACATAAGAGTGCCAGGGTACCCACCAAAGTATATTATCAGTCTTTTTAGTTTTTGCCAGTCTGATAGGTGAAAAAAGGTTTTGTTTATTTTTTCATTTCTCTTATTTTATGTGAAGTTAAGCATGTTTTTATTTGTTGAGGAGCCATTGTATTTTATTTTCTGTGAAATGTGGTCAAATACTCTTTGACCATTTTTTTAGTGGATTGTTGGTTGTTTGCCTATGATATGAGTTGAAATATTTTCCACCACTTCCTTATTTGTCATTGTCTTTGCTTTTAATTTTTTAATTTAGCTATGCTGATTTTTTTTATGCAGTCAAATGAATCAATCTTTTATTTGGTGACTTCTGGATTTTATGTCATAATTGAAGTCCTTCCCTACTCCAGGATTACAAAAAAAGGTCTATTTGTTTTTCTTCTCCTTCTAAGGTTTTACTATTCACAATTAAATGTGATTCATTAGAATTTACTGTAGGATAAGGTGTAAAGTATGGAGCCAACTTAATTTTTTTCCCCAGATGGCTGCCCAGTTCTCCCTGTAACATTTAGTGAGCAAACTACCAAATATCAAATCCCTATATGTATTTTAGTCTATTTATGGACTTTCTTTTCAATTAACCTGTCTATTCACCTACCAGTATCAAGCAGTTTTAATTACTACAGATTTAAAATGTTTTTTACTTCCAGCTACCCCTTCCAGAATTTATATGGCTACTTTTTCTCACTTGTTTTTCCATATGAACTTTTGGAGTAACTTGTTTAGTGCCATATCATAGACTTCTCCTAGCCCCAAACAGTCCTATTGCTATTTTATTAGAATGATGTTAAACTTATGGACTAATTTTAGAGGATCTTTTTGATGTTGTACCAAAACATAGGGTGCATTTCCATATGTTCAAATTAAAGATATTTTAAAGGAATGAATATAGGTGTCCTCTTCTCTGTCTAAAGATACTATTTTTGAATAATATTTTACTAATTTGAAATTAATATATATTTATGTAGAAAAATTTAAAGTACTAGGTACTTTTAGAAGAAAAAAATCCTTAAAACTGTCACTCAGAGATATTGTATTATATCACTAAACTGTTAGTTACATAATAACAAAAAAGTATACATCTACTCCTTACTTACCGACTGTCTTGTTATCCGACATTTCACATTTACGACAATTGTAAAAAACCCACTATTTTTGCACATTAACGAGGCTGCGGGCATGGTCCCCTCCCTTGAGGAGGGTCTCCAGCAGCCTCCCAGAAGCTGGACTGAGCAGCCCCGCACCCTCTGCTCCCTCCTGCGGACAGGTGCTCTGCATCGAGCTGCTGCACGGGGCTGGCCTCCTCTGTGGTCACGGCTCCAGTGGATACAAAGGCATCACCGAGCCAGCGGGCACCTGTTCTGGGTTCCTAGCTCCTATGTGGCCCGAGGCCCTGCAGCTCAAAATTGCTGTGGGGTGGGAAGGGAAGAAAGAAGAAGCCATTGGAAGAGGGTGTTTGGAAGAAACGTGAATTTAATGAATCCCACAGTGAGCCAAACTGAACTGAAGCCTCCACCTTGTTGGGGCCGGGTGCATGGCCAGGCTCCCCGCATCCTCGCAGGAAGCCCAGAGGCTCGATGACTTGCCAGGCCCGGAGGGCCGAGCAGGATCCGGGGTAGTGAATACAGGGCTTGCAGGGTTGGGAGTGGAGCCCTGGAGGCAGCTTCACAAGGGAAGCTGTGACCCAGCACAGGAGGAAGGTGAAGTGGTTAAGCTGTGGACCCCCCAGTCACACAGCCTGGCTTTATCCAGCTGTGTCTCCTCCTCCTTCTCAACAGAGGAATAGTCCATAACTGGACTCATCACAACGATAAGCACATCGGTAAATCTTACTGTTATTATTTCTATGATCATATTTTGTAAATAAAAAAATTAGATAGGTGGTCTGAAAACAGGGAAAAAACCCTCCATTTTTGGCATAACGCTGATTTGCGTGTAATGACCTGGTCTTTGGAACCTAACCGTGTCAATAAGTGAGGAGTGGGTGTATATACATTTTATTAAAATGGAAAAGCATTGCATATACCATTTTCTAACCTATTGCTTAATTTAATACATATATATGATGAGTATTTACACATCATTAAGTTTTTAAGATAATGTTGAATAGAAGTCAAGTCAGATAACTTATCATTTATTCATAAATGTTTAATTCTGTAACACTGGTAAGGAACCCTGGTGGCGCAGTGGTTATATCAGAAAAATAACTTGCCAGAATGGCCCTGTGACTAGAAATCAAATGTTTAACATTTCTTATTTATCCTTTTCCATTGGCATACTTGCTTTTACATAGTGGTGATTATAGTATAGATATGGTTTGGTACTTTCTTTAGCCTCCTTTGTCATATGCATTTCCACGTTGCTATATAATTATTATCAGTTTTTATTATCATTTTTGGTGGTTATATACCATTGCATCATATGGACGTGCCATAATTAATTCTTCTCCTACTATATAATCTTTAACGTATGTCATTGTTTCTAAACAGTTCATCATAATAATTCGTTATTAATTTTAATAAAAAATATTTAGGTTATATCAATATAAAATACATTTTCATTATTAATAATTGTAGCAAATATATTTGCACATACGGCTTTCCAATTATTTATTTAGGGTGCATTCTCACAAGTCATACATTACCTAGTCAGAGGATCAACAACTTTTTTACAATTCTTGATGTAAGAGGAGTACCTATATGCAGTGCTATACACAGCATGTTGAGTGAGGGGTCATATCATATTGTTTTTGTCATATATTTACCTATCTTAGGTAGTAACACTATTTGTACCCTTTGAATTCCTAGATATTAAGTAACACCTGATTCAGCTGTGTATTTCTTCTCTTCTATAATTTTTTTTAATGCCTTAAACATATACTTACTAAAGACTATGTGGAAAGCATACAAGTTAGGTTCTGTTCAGTAAGACTGTTTTCCTCATTAAGCTCTGTCTCATTCAAAAATTAAAAAAAAAAATTGAAGCATTATTGAAAATCAGAAGACACTGTAATTGCTGATACTCTAAAACAGTAGGCAGAGAGCAGGGGAGTGGGGTCACCTCCAGGCTGTGACCTCAGCTAGATGGCTGTCTCACCCAAGTTTCCCCTGTGGGTAGAAGAAATCATTGGCAATATTTTCTAACACTTATGCAGGATATTTCTTTCAAGCAACTCATAAACTGGCTCACACCTAATGACCCTGATTCTCCCATTATCCATGTTATAGCACAGTATTTAATACTTTCATGATGATTGTTGGGTATACGCTATAAGCTACCCATTCTGTATTGGCAAGAAGTAGATTGTATGCATCTTCTTTGGCAAGTGGGAGGCTGTGGCACAGAAAGAGGACATTCCTTTATGAAACACAGTGCATTGTATTAAAGGAACCCGAGATAGATTACACAGCAGGCCAGCCAAGTACATACTTAGCCCACCAGCGAAGTAGGGCCCCAAAACAAAAGTTTATGGGAAAAAAAAGGTGATATTCTAGAAAAATTATGGAAGTTGTCATCATAAGAAAAAAAGCAGAACTCCGTAGGACTTCATAACACTTACGTTATGGAAAGTTTAGTTCAAAGTCAGGTCTTAGTGAAACTCACCTTTCGTGAGTGTGGACCTAGTGCCCCTGCAGTCTACCTTCACTCCTTCTCCCAGGCAGTAGAATGACTGATCCGGCAGAATCCTGGGTGGTTTTTTTCCCTCTGACCAATTACTGTTTGAGGTGATTCGGTTTGTTTTATTTAGTTAATTTTAAGAGTAATTAGGGTCCTTTTGGAATTTAGTCCTATGATTTTTTTAAATTAGTACAGATTTAATAAGATAAATAATAGTGAATGGAATCCCCTTAAATGTTAAGTACTAAATACTCATAATTGGAAAATATCAAAAAATTGAAAATTCAGACATGCAGTCATTTTTTATAAAACAATAAAAGATAATCTAGAAAAGGAGAGAATGGTTTGAAATAAAATTTAAAAAAAAAGAAAAAAACTGTAGCCTAGAAGCATTTTCCATTGTGACTCCAGTTAAAACGGTTCTTGTCGAATCAATTCTGACTTAAACAGCAACCCCATGTGTGTCAGAGTAGAACTGTGCACCATAGGGTTTTCAATGGCTAATTTTTCAGAAGAAGATCACCAAGCCTTTCTTCCAAGGCATTTCTGGGTGAACTGGAACTTCCAGCCTTTCGGTTAGCAGCCAAGCGCTTCACTGTTTGCACCACCTAGGGACTCTCGTTGTGACTCTGATGGTTCCTTAACCACACTGCCCTGGAGCTTTCTGATCCTGTATCTTTAGAGAAGATTGCAAAAATGTTTTTCTCCCAAATATGAGAAAATTAAGATGGCAGAATCTTTAAATGAGACTTTCATTGGGATAAAAGATCAGCACCTTATGCTCTTACTTAAGGATTAGACTCACCCCTCAGCAGAACTGGGCAAGCCTGTCTCAAAAGCACAAGGCAAAGAAACAGCACTACTGAACACACCAATATCTGTCTCCTCTCTCCAACCCACATTCTACCCCCCAACTCCCAGTGCAGACTGGTGAGCAGGGACAGTCTGTTGATCTCTCAAGTGACAGGGCCCTCCTGGGTCACAGGAGAGAGTGCAGAGATGATGTTCTTTTGCCAGGTTGAGCCCTGGGTGCGGTTGTATGGACTAGCATTTGCCTGGTGACCAGAACATGGCTGGAACACAGTTTCTGTACTCTGAAAGTAAATAACATCCAGTAATGAAGACTGTTCCCTCTAGCTTGCCTGCAGCATGTCCTGATGAATGATATGAGAGGTCACTGTTGAAAAGCCGCCTGGGCTGTAGGAAGGGGAATTAGAGATTAAAATTCCTAAATGACTTAAGAAACATACCAACCAAATAAAGCAAGTGAATCTTTAGGTCTTGATTCAAACAAATCATGTATAAAAAAATTTATGAGAGAATCAGGGAAATTTGAACCTTGACTGGATATTTGATGAAATTAAGGGATTATAATTTATCTTTAGGAATGATGATGGGACTGTGGTTATGTTTTTGTTTTGTTTTTACTTTTATATGTGAATTTTCCTTAATGAAATCTAAAAATGTCTTTGCCCAATTATTCCCCCCAAAATATCTTATTTTAATTTTTATGTACTTAATAACTAAACCAAAAAAAAATCAAACCCATTGCCATCGAGTTGATTGCAGCTCATAGCAATGCAATAGGACAGAGTAGAACTGCTCCATAGGGTTTCCAAGGAGCGGCTGGTAGATTCGAACCACCGACCTTTCAGTTAGCAGTCAAACACTTTAACCACTGTGCCACCAGGGCAAATAACTAATAAGGCTAACTCTCTCTCTTTTTTTTTTTTTGGACCTCTTTTTTCATGAAATACCTGTTTGTATCCTTTGACAGTTTTTAAAAATTGTACTGATTCTTGACTGACTCAATTTTTAGTATGATGCTTGAAAATCTAGTCATTGTAATTAGCAAACATACATGTTTTAAGCATTTTATAACAAACTTAGGAAGTAGGTACTATTATCCCCATTTTACAGATAAGGAAACTGAGGCATGGAAAGCTTATCTGCCCAAGGTCACCCAACAAGTAAGTGTAGGGAGGATTTGAATACAGGTTGTCTGAATCTAGAGTATTTGCTATTATCCACTGTATAAAGCTGCCAGTTAATCTTTTACTTTATGGATTCTGTCTTTGCTTTTAAGTTTAATAAGATCTTCTCTTCCCTGGGATAAGATAAATATTCACTAATATTTTCTTCCAGTTCTCTGGTGGTCTCATCTCTGTACATTTATATCTTGAGATGTTCACTTGGCAGTTGGAAATTCAGTGTAGAACCTGAGAGGGAAGTCACAGGAAGAAAACCAAAGACATAAGGAAAATATTAGCCTAAAGGATTAAAGAACCAAATAAACCACAGACTTCACCAGCCTAAGACTTGAAGAACTAGATGGTGCCTGGCTACCACCAGTGACAGCCCTGACAGGGAACACAACAGAGAGTCCCAGACAGAGCAGGAGATAAATGTAGAACAGAACTCAAATTCATATAAAAAGACCAGACTTAATGGTCTGACAGAGACTGGAGGAACCCCTGAAACTATGGCCCTCAGAAGCTCTGTTAACCCAGAACTGAAACCATTCCCAAAGCGCACTCTTCAAACAGAGATTAGACAGGACTATAAAACAAAAAAATAATACATGTGAGGAATGTGCTTCTTAGTTCAATCAGATATACGAGACCAAATGGGCAGCTTCTGTCCAAAAGCAGGATTAGAAGGCAGGAAGGGACAGAAACAGGACAAGTGGACACAGGAAACCCAGGGTGGAAAGGGGGAGGATGTTGTCGCATTGTGGGGACTGCAACCAGTGTCACAAAATAATACGTGTATCAGTTTTTTAATGAGAAATTCATTTGAGCTGTCAACTTGCACCTAAAGCACAATAATAAAAATTAAATTAAAAAAAAGATTTTGATTGAAGAATCATAACTGCTGCTCCTTCTGGAGTGAATTTTGACTGTGGGGTGATCAGTGTTTTATGATTTTTGTCCTTGTATTTGGCTGCTAGGTCAATCCTGGAGCCACTTTTTGAGCGCAGGGCTTCGTCAGGTGCCAGAGTTGAAGATCTGCCTGTCAGAGAGGACGGCGAGAACCGGATCAGCAAGTTCAAGAGAAAAGACTGGAACCTGAGCAAGTCCCAAGTCATTGCAGAGAAAGCGCCAGAAGATGATCTAATGGTAAAAAAGAGAGAGAGAGAAAAAAAAAAGCACCCGAGGCTTGCCACTGCCTCCCTTGTAGCCAGGCATATTGCTGTTCCCTGCACAGATAGAAGCCTGGCTGTGGCTTGTCTCGGGACAGAGCAGTCAGTGGTAGGTGTCAGAACTCAGACTGTGTAAGAAAGCACGTACAGAGAATCTGAGTCTCTAAATCACTATTGTGCAAGATCTTGTACCCACAATGTAATAATGTGGGTTGATGCTTGGAGTTGTGGTTCTCAGCTGTATGTTCCATGAGTCAGTCCAAACATTGTCATTTGTCTTCTTTTAACTTTAAAAAAAGAGAGTCCTTTTTTTCCACAAGCCACATCAAGTTGTTAAATGTGGCAGACCAACTTTCCCTGAGAATCAGGTGGCTTATTTTCAGCCTAAATGACACGGTCCAGCCGTGGCCAAAATCAAGCCTATAACCAGCCAGAAAGCAATCTATGGTTCAGTGATTCCCAGTTAGTGTCTTTGCCATGGAGCTCACTATATGTCAGTGTGGTAAGCTTGAAAGTGGCTCCTGGAGTTACGCCCTTTTGCAAGTTTCTGCTCAGTAGACAAGGTTGTTCAGAGCATTGTTGAGCTCAGTGTTTCTTACCATGAGAATGTTTTGCTGTGTTTTTCCCCCTGGTACTAGAGCCCATCCAAAAAAGCACAAAGGCCAAAGAGTCTCCAACTGGTGGACAGTCGGCTAACACCATTTCATGGTTCTTCACCTCCTCAGTCAACACCCTTGAGCCCACCACCACTCACTCCTAAAGCCACCAGGACCCTAAGTAAGTTTTCCTATAGCCCTTGTATTCTTTTTACTAGGGAATGGAGTATGTTTATGGACCTGGGCAATTTTTAACCAAACCAGCTATAAAGTATATGTGACTGTTGTAAAGTTAGTTCAGGTCAATGGTTTAAAAAAAAAAAAAAATTGCCATTGAGTTGATTCCGACTCAAAGCGACCCTAAAGGACAGAGTAGAACTGCCCCATAGAGTTTCCAAGGAGCACCTGGTGGATACGAACCGCCAACCTTTTGGTTAGCAGATGTAGCTGTTAACCACTACGACACCAGGGTTTCCAATTCAGTGGTAGCTGGTAAAATACAGTTAGACTGGAGTTTGACAAGGAGCCCTTGAATTGTTGTTAGTTGCCATAGAGTTGGCTCTGACTCATAGTGGCCTTATATATAACAGAATGAAACTTTGCCCAGTCATGTGCCATCTTCACAATCGTTGGTATGTTTGAGTCCATTGTGGCTGTTGATCTGTCTAGTTATCTATCCAAAGGGTAACTGTCCTATTCTAAATGTGTATGTGTAAATGAGGTAGAGTAGGACTAGGACCAAAAATGGCAGAGCAAGTACTTATGAACTCACTATCGAATAGATAGCCCTGTGCTTATACTGGAAAGGTTTTAAAATAAAGACAAGAAATGGACCCATTCCATCCATATACTACATACTATCTGCGTTGGGGTACCCCTAATAAAAAAAACGCTTGAAAAGAATTACAGGGTACTCATAATACAAAGGCATAATGGAGGGGTAAATCTATCGGTGCCAGATGGGAGACAGTGGTCAACCAGGAATTAATCAGGTAACACTCTAAATGATAAAAATACAAAAATCCAGCTTAATCAACCAGTATTTATTGAGTATCTGCAGTGTGTCAGGCATTTTTCCTAAGCATTTGGGGATATATCAGAGAACAGAGTAATACCCCAAGTTCGAGAATATATTCTTATCCTTAGCTTAGTAGTAAAACCCTAAACAAAAAAAAGTTGGAGGAGGGGGTTTAATTCAGAACTTCTTGTGAAGCTTGTGAAACCTTCTGGTGAATGAAAGATGCTGCATTTGTCACATGGAATAAAAAGTCTTCTTCATCCTGTCCACAGAAACCACAGAATCTAACTTTAGCAGTTTGATTGGCCAGGTTGGTTTAGGCATTAAAATGGCAAGCAGAATTTCTATGAGATTCCTTAAATTTTTCTCCTTGCTTTCATTTACTTTGTATCATTTCTAGGCTCCCCATCTTTACAGACAGATGGTCTGATGACGTCTACTCTCCCGCCTCCACCTCCCCCCAAAAGCAAGCCCTATGAGAGCAGTCAGAGGAACTCGGCAGAGGTAGGGCATCCACGGCTGAGGCTTGTGGCCAGAGAGCGCCACTCGTGGGAAAACAGCATTGGGTTTTCCAAGCTTTTTAGTAGGCGGGTTTTCCCAGAGATTTGTCACTATAGCCGATGCTTGGTTCATTCCTGAAACCACAAAAGCTAAAGAAGTGAAGATATGCAAGTAAACATTTTCATCCGATTGAAGATAGAGCAGTTCTCTGTACCTCCTCATGGGTACAAGTGGGTGAAATAAGAAATGCATTCTGGTTCATGTTTGAAGAGTGACAGTCGTTCTGGAATAGTGTCTGACAGGTTTCCTTCATTCATTCAGCAGATGCTTACTGAGTGTCTACTATTTGCCAGGTACCCAGGTATTGAGGATATAGTAGTGTGCTGGG